GTATAAATACGTGAGCGCCGCTTCGCCATGTTATCGAGGAAACGCTTCTCGGCCCGGGAGAAGATTAACCGAAGGCAGCCTGAAACACCGACAACATCAAATCAAAACCTCGATCTTTTTAATTCCTAAACTTTGAACTCGAACTTTAACCAGGCCGGCGAAGCAGCGGGCCTGAACGGTTTTTAATCTCTCCCCATTGATCACAAGGCCGAAGCGGCTGCCATGGATTTTTAAGGCATAATGCGGCACCTTTAATGCAAAGGCAATGCATAGTGCAAGGCAAAACCAAGCGCGAAACTCCATCTTCGCAACTGCCAAGCAGTTGGGCTCAAATACCGTCCGCGGTATCCCTGCGAGCCAACCGGTACCGCTGCTGCTGGACCGGAGGAAGCTAACGCTAGCTAGCTAGTCACCTTAGCCGGTAACGTCGAACTGAAAGAGCGGTCCCCATCGATTCAATCAACCCCGCCAACACTATCGATCAACATGAAGCCTCAAGACATCGTCGCCGGGAAGACGAGCCTGTGGATCTTCGGGTACGGCTCGCTGGTGTGGAAGCCCGACTTCAAGTACAAGAGGAGCAAGGTCGGCTACATTCAAGGCTACAAGAGACGTTTCTGGCACGGAGACAACTTCCACCGCGGGAACGAGCAGTTGGTAAGATGTTTAATGTTTATGTTTATGTTTATCTACATGTTGTTTTGCTTACACCGGCACAGCTGGCTGCTGTTTGTCGACTGTTTGGCTCACACTGCATTAGGCGTTGTCCATGACGTGACCCATTTCTCTTCCTCCCCTCTGCAGCCCGGAAGAGTGGTGACGCTGATCGAAGATGATGACGTAAGTGGAAAGCCCTACTTCCTATTGGTTGCTATGCGGTGCTAAGGAAACTGCAGTGGAGTTTCCAGGCTTAAGAAAACTACCTGGGGGAAATAACAGAACATGTTTTTTTTTTTTCTTTCCTCTTCTCACAGGCGAGCACTTGGGGTGTGGCGTTCGAGGTGACGGGATCTCAAGTGGAGGAGTCCCTGAAGTACCTGAACGTGCGTGAGACGGTCTGCGGCGGCTACGTCACCAAGATGGTGGATTTCTTCGCCGAGGGGGAAAGCCAGCCCCCGGTCCAGGCGCTGCTGTACATAGCCACCACAGACAACCCCCTCTACCTGGGGCCTGCCAGCCCGGAGGAGATCGGCGTCCAGATCGCCCTGTGCAGAGGGAAGACGGGCCACAACCTGGAGTATCTGCTCCGGCTGGCCGAGTTCATGAGGAGCAGCTGCCCGCAAGTGGAAGACCATCACCTGTTCTCCATCGAGGCCGCAGCGCTCACCGTGGTGTCCTATCTGTTGGCAGCCCAGTAGCTCGTACCCTCTGTCTCACTAGCTCATAAAGTGGATGAATACACACTACACACAACACTGAGGCTTTTCACCTGTCATGCCAGTTTACTTATGTTTTATGTTGTGAGATGTTGCTTCACACTCTACCATCCAGTGTACTTGAATCCATTGAATGTTACTGAAATGATAATGAAAGGGAAGCATGATAAGTGTTAAAAGACAAAGCTAGAACATGACCTCATGTTAACGGTGCAATGTTACATGCTACATGTTTGTATATTTTACAAAATGTAGAACTGAATTGTTGACTGTAAACATCTGTAATTTTTTAAATGCACATTTCTGTTTTGTTTTGCACAGTTCAGATTCCATCCATTCAGACGGTAAAGTAATTAACTGGTAGTTGAACCTGAAACGGCTGCTGTGATGTGAAGTTATAGACCTGGTTTTTAAAAAGTTAAAAATGGAGACTTTTTCACCCAGTGTAAAAGAAAATGCCAATAAAAAGTGAAAATAATTTTTGTGTTTCGTGCCTTCCAGTTACTCTGTGAGCCAGTGGGATGAGAGTTCTCAGGACCAAGAAATATATCAGTTAGTGCCAGCTGCCATCACATTCACTGATTGCGGGGAGGAAAATGCTGGCAAAATGAAATGGTGCAATGCCTCTAATGTGCCAAATATGGAAAGGCACGAAATAAATGTCTGACTTTTCTCTACTTTATTGAACGGTTAACTCCTTGGACCTTTAACAACAAATTCTCTCCACACTGAGGTCATATAACTTGTGAGGACGGAGACTTTGATTAGTATAGTCACACTAAAAGGTTTGGGAACCACCAACAGAAAATATGGTTATAGATATCACATAGTGGGATATATCACCTGCATACGTACATGCAACATTTGACCACCGAAAAGGGCCTGAGGCTCATTCCTAGAAGCAGGTTCACAAAGTTACAACTGGCTAGATAACTTTCCCGAGCAAAACCTGGCACAGTCCATGTTCCAGGTTTGACTGGGTTGCAGATAGTGCTTTTTGGCACAAGCCCCTCGAGTATACACATACACAAACATACATAGGACGCTCCCAAACATTGGTCGGAGCAGATTGTACCTTGGACGTGATTCAAGTCAAGAGTCTAGGTGCAGAGGCTTATATAACGGCTGGCCGGGAACAAGCCCAGACCTGGAAGTCCTGTGTTTACAGTCTGCTCCGTGGTCATGTCAGAGGGCACCAGGAGGAACATGCTGCTGAGGGGGCTCATCGAGATGAAATCTGAGCCGGCCATGCACCGAACCATGTGAAAATATACTGACGTTAGTTCAGGTGCGCGTCAGAGTCTTGACTGCTCATATCTTTCGCAATGCTCAAAATGTCAAATACATAGCTTCGACTGGGTTGTTTCTGTACATTTCACTCAGGTCATTATGTACAGTGGTCAGTTCACCCAAATTACAAAAAAAAAAAAAATACTTTCTCACAAATGCATTGCTGCTACTGAGCCTTGCATTTCCACCATCCCCAATACAATGGAGGTGAATGGAATTTGGTTTCATGCTGCTCGTAACAATGAAAGAACTATTTGAAAACTCAATAACAACATGTCTTTCCAAAAACAATGTCTCAGTTATTGAGCTCTCACTGCAGTTTTCATGGGGACTTTTACTTAAGCAGAAAGTGGTTCCAATGAAAACCGTCAGCAGCGAGGTCTGTAGATTATTTTGAGTGACAGGGAAATTGTTTCTGGAAAGACTACAGTTGATTTTTTGAATGCTGAGAGCAAACAAAATTAGGACTGGATGTGACCTGCGGGTGCATAGGGAGGCCTTCCAAATGAGATCTTATTTTTGAATGTTGAATGTCTAATATAGAGAAGCATTTGCAGTATTTTATTAAAAAAGTGTAATTTTGAATTGTAAACCAAAGCGAAAATGTGGTCGGTGAAGAGATTGACCTTGAAATTTCAGTGACTTTTTATATCTCAGGTTCCAAAATAAGTGTAAACATTTCTAAAGATCTATGATTGCAGATGTTATTGGGTGTCAGGAGTCAGTGCAATATTATTTAACATGGCAAAGGGAACAGAACAGGGGCCCTGGAGCTTTACAGGACAGCGGCCAAAGACCACAGAATTATGGTTTAAGAAAAGCAAGTTGATTTAATACCTCTGCGATAGTCTCAACAATAACTGTGCAAAGCTGCGTAATCTGGAGTATGAAACACAAAACCTGCACCAGCATGCAATAGGAGAAAGTAATATAGTCTGAAGTGTTGCACGCAGAAGGGTCAAAGGATTCCTTTCAGCCCTACTGGTCAGGTTTCCATTATTTTATCCATCTTTTACATACCTCGTACTAATGTATTGTCCCGAACAGCCATGCAGATTACTATAATGAACACAAAAAATAACTAGAAATAAACAGAAAGACTGATTTAGCACTCCTTTATTTTCATTTGGCTCCTCCTGTTAGTAAAATGGCTGATGCATTTCTTCATATGTACACATGACCTATAAAAATAGACAGGCAAATGAGGGAAAAGCCAGAGGAAATGTCGCTCTCATCATTATGTACATCAATATAGAACAGCATATTTTAATCACACTATTAACACAAAACAAACAAAACCTATAACAGATGTAGTGCTCAACTCAGGACACTGATGCAAATCTTTTTTTTTGTTTTTTTTCCTAAAACATCAATGACATCAAAGAGAACCACAGACTTCTCATCACAAAAACAATTTCTGAAAAGTAAAAAATGGCTTCAATACAATTTACACTGTTTAACAGCTGAACATCCCATTCGCAACTATCGTGAATTGCCCATTTTTAACATAACTCAAATAACTTAAATATTAGACAACCAAATAATCTGAGTGAATTCATAGATTTACTGTTAGCAGCATCAACTGGTGCCCCCTCATTTTGGAATATACGTTTTTTTCATCATCATTCATTCATTTACCCATTGGACAAAAAATATATAATCAATTTTCATTTCCTTCTGTGCGGGAAAACATTTTATGGACAAGAAATTTTTCAAGATGCTGAGACCTGCCATGTTTGTATGGGTACTGGCATCTTTATTACAAAAATAAGAGCTTTAGTAGAAAAGCTGTAGACATATTGTTTGGTAAAGTGTGGGTTGGTAAGGTATGGGTTCACATTAAGCTCTGTGAAATGCAGAATCTTCCACCAGTTTGCATTGAGCATATCTACAGAACAATTAAATAACCTAATGTACGTGTATGAGAATCGATAACATCAAAAAACGGAAGACGCGGCTCAGTGCATTTGACCGAAACTCCTTTGCCTCCCTAACCTGGCAATCGCAAGGATTTCAAAGCCCTTTACGCTACATGCGTTGGTTCACGCCTGTTGTAAAATCACACCTAAGTAGCACATCAAAAGAGCTTCCTGTCATGGATAGAAAAGTACAGTTTTGTCTTCTCAGAAAGCACTTGGAAATACTCATGTCACAATGCGAACAAAAACACTCAAGGCAGATTTTGTCCACCGACCCGGACACATTCAAATAAAACTGAACCGAGGAAATGGGGAGGCTGGTAGGGACTGTACCTTCAAATGATTGTGTGTGTGTGTGTGTGTGCGCGCGTGTGTGTGTGTAGGTGTGAGGAGGGTCCTTTTAGTTGCTGAGCCAGCAGACACAGCATGGTCCTCTAGGTAGTGAGCCTCAGTTACTGTATATTCCCTATTCAGTCTAGGTGTAGGGCGTCTGTGGGGATCACAGTGAGAGTAGGTCAGTTATCTGTATGTGTGTGTGTTCTATATTGAGACAGTTGTGCGTGTGTGAGGCCACATTCAAGTGTGTATGAGTGCATTATCGAGCCCCAGGACCACCAGGGCCCTTGCCTTTCCTGACTGCCCCGTGGCTGCTGTGGTGGTGGCTGTGGGCCAGCTGTTTGTGGGGGCTCGGGGTGGAGGCGCCTCCTTTGGCCTGGGGAGAGGAGCTTCTGCTGGGGTTGAAGGCTGGGCTGGTACCAGACCGGCCCAGGGAAGGCTGCAGGGGACTGGATGCAGAGAGCCCTGCTGGAAGGAGGGACAGACATGGGCATGGTTAGTCTCTAATGGAACAAGCGGTGCCCCAATTGAATACTACATTCTAGCTGTGTACAATATATATATATATATTTCAAATACCTCAGTGGAGAGAAAACTCAAAATCCATGTTAATGTGTTAATAAATTCAGTATAATGTTCATTTCCACAGCACTAATTCCATCTTAAGAGGTTAGTGGAATTGTTTGAAATACACTTTCACACAAATGGATGGACACTTGGCGGCCACGTCTCTTCCTGCACAAAATCTACTTTTATGGTTGCTTATAATCGGCCTTTATACTTGTTAGATGAAAGGGCTTTATTCGCTGAAAATTTTAGAAAACAGGGTTTGTTGTGAACTACGTAGCGCTGTGGTTTGGGTTTGTGGGTCTTTTCTTGCTGACCTGGTCTAAACATCATTCTCAAAAGCTTCTTTTTCAAATGTTTTTGTGTTCTGGTGCGTTACAATGCTTTTACTGATTGCTTCTAAACTGATCAATTTTGCATACAAAGTGCGAACTTGGTGGGATTACTGTAGCCTTTACTTACAACAGGCTCAACATGGTAAATCTAGTATTGGATGCTTAAAAACTCTGGGATGTAAAAGTCCATCAGCAGAACAACCAGTTCATGTTTTCTTTTTAACCAGGGAGATACGTGTCTTCATACTCAATTATTTGCTACTCTTTTCTTCTCTGCCTGTACTCCTGATAGGATGGTCTAAAGCTACCATCAAACAAAACTCGACGGGCCCTGTCCTTGGTGTTTTTTTTTTTTTTTTTTTAAATCCTAACGTAGTTAAAGTTGGAAGGCCTATTGCTGGCTTTTCAATGGTGAAGATTTCTGGAGGGAGTGTCGAGTTTCATTCAATCGGTAAGCCAAACATCAGACGGGGAAATGCTAACATCTTGTTAACT